TATATTTACTGCTATAAGGAGCAAACTTTCCTGCATTTTATGGAACATTACAGTTAGTGCCTCCCTGGGAGGACCATGAGTCAGCCTGGCTCAAGGGGCACAGAGCTCCCGAGCCCAGTGCTGCTCATCCCTTTGTAGGTGGTATTTTGTAAGGGCAGTGAGGTTTTACAGCTACCTGGCCGTGCTGAGCTCACAGCAGGGGAGCCATGCATCCCCTGGTAAAAAGGGCTTGCTTCATATTACTGAGGAAATTTCCCCTGCGTTCTCTTTCCATGAAGGTGAGAACGTCTTTAAGACTTAGATTGTTGCTCCTGATGCAATTGATTGTTTTTTGCCTACTTCTGTGTGCAGTAGTAACTTAGAGGGAGCTGGGAAATGCTCTTTGCTCAAAATCAAGACGTTAAACCATCAGCTTTCTGCAGAGAACTGCAGGAGGCTCAAACTCCTGCAGAGCACATAGCTGAGGATGGACATGGGAGTCCCTGCCTGTTGGGGAGGGACGCTGCTGCCAGGAGAGAAGCTGTGACTGCTGACTGCCAAGCCTTACTGATTTGGGGCATGTCAGGAGCCCAAAACCTGTGTTCCTCTCAGAGCTGTGATAGTCTTAATCCACTGCTTGGCAGTATCTTGTTTCAGAGACAGATAGGGGTGGGCTGCCTCCTTCCTCAGTTTGATCAGGGAGACCTCATTGCTCTCTCCAGCTACCTGGAAGGAGGTTCAAGTGAGCTGAGAGTTGGTCTCTTCTCCCTGGTAACAAGTGAAAGGACAAAAGGAAATGGCCTCAAGATGTGCCAAGGGAGGTTTAGATTGGATATTAGTGAAAATGTATTCTCTATAAGGGTTGCCAAGCATTGGAACAGGCTGCCCAGGAAAACGTTGGAGTCACCATCCCTGGTGGTATTTAGGAGACGTTTAGTTGTGACATGGTTTAGTGGTGGACTTGGTAGTGCTGGGTTAGTGGTTGGACTTGATGATTTTAAAGGTCACTTCGAACTTAAATGATTCTGTAACTCTTTATGTTATAGTGATTGTCACTATAGCCAATGGTGGTGAGTTGACTGTGACTGACAGCTAAGTTCCACAGTGAGAAAAAAGCTCATGGCCTGAGATTAAGCCAGTTTAATAAATGAGGAAAACCAAAACAAGCCACAAAAGAAAAGAAAAATTCAAGTGACACCAAGTGAACCACTCACCCAGTACAGCAGTTCAGTATCAGATGCAGTGACGACTGGAACAAAAATATGATTTTGCTTTACCTCCAATTGTTGGCAAAGAGAATTCCCTTCTCCAGAAGTCTCCCCACTGTCACTGCATTTGCTTCCACAGGCACTGTGCTCAGACTTGCACAGGCATGTGAGTTTTACTATAGAGGTTGATCCTGTTAAGCAGCTGTAGCCAGAGCTCCCCCAGTTGTTTGTAGAACAAGGAGATACTGTGTTTGTAAGATCACAACTATCAGCCCTGTTTTACGATTTTTATGAGCATTAATGGAACAAGGTTTGGGGACTGAAGGAGAAAATGGAATATGAAAAGGCAAATGAAAAGAGGCTGTGAGGAAAGCATGTCATTTCTAAATGAATGCTCTGTGCAGAGGAATTGAATCTTTTCACAGCTGAAAATGGATCTTAAATCTGATGCCTTAGCTTGTTTCAGCTTCTGTAATGAAATAGAGTTTTCCTAATACCCTGTGACCTGAATTTCTCCCTGCTTTATGGGTGCTATTCCTTGACGTACAAACCTGTATTTTCTCAAGTCAGCATTTGATGATGGATGTCAAAATACAGGTCATGTATTATGCATATAGCATTACCGATTTAAGGTGTTTACTTGTCAAGTTGAAGAAATTCAAAAATGTCACATTCACTGAATCTGCACAGCTGTCACTTGTAGTTTTTCATGCCTTTAAATGAAAGTTCTGATAAAGCAGGTTAGTTTCCTGCACTTTTTTTTCATTTCTCTTCTGGAGGGAAAAAATAGACAGGCTGTGTATGGAAATTAGTTTGTGACTTGGGAGCAGGAATGTGTCTTGAAGGTGTTTGATAGCTTGTGACTCCAAACCTAAGCACACAAAATCCCCAAATATTTTCTTTTCCTGGAAATACTCCACGATTTTTATATTTCTTAAAAGTAAATTTCTAGAAGTGTCTGAATTAAGTATGAGCAAGGAAATTAAATTATCAGATACTTCTCATGTCTTTCAAGACAGTAGGATGAAACATATTACCGTATGAGTCTATTTTTCATTCAAGGAGAAAACACAATCCCTTTAACATGCTTCCTGCATTTCAGACTGAATGCACTATGTGTGCAGTGTGCAATTACAGAGCTTCTGACAGTCTGTGTCTAACAAAAATGCCACATTTACTTCAATCTTCTGACACTATCCCAGGAAGACAAATATTCTAAGGGTTAGAGAGGTGGCTACAAATGGCCTTCGATGGAGAGTGTGCGTTTCTCTGTGTATGTGCAGTGAAGGGGAGGCAGGAAGAACTTGCACATTTAGCTGAGTTACACTAGCTTGCTTCAATTTGCCTGTAACTGGTAGGAAAATACTGCGGTGCTCCTACCACCTGAAGGGCCTGAAGGTAGTTCAGGGAGTGCATCCCCAGATGTGGGGGGAAAGGCTTCAGGAAAAAAGGGAGAAGCAGAGTCTCCAGGGATACTCTGAGCAGTGCAATCCCTGGAGTGCAAGGGAACAATATTAGTTTTGTTTACTTTTATATAAGTGAGCATGAAAAGTCATCATGTTGCCATTTTGACTTGTAATTCAGCAGGGGACCCAAGTGAGCCTGCCACCTTACCTGCTCAAGGAATCTGCTGTTACCTGAGCTTTTTCTAATGTGACAAAGGCTGTATCCTGCATCTCCTAAAAGAATGCATTCCATAATAGAGTACAAAACACTGGATCCTGCTGCAGAAGGAGGTGTCACACTAATACTCACCTGTCTTCGGATAGCATGTCCTCCCCTTGGAGTCCCACTTTAATTTTTCTGCTGTTGTGAGAGTGTCAGTGTTACCTGTAACTTACAAGGTGGTGACTGAAAGACCTTTGTCAGACTCTGTGAGCCTGAGGAATCTCAGGCTCTGCCATGAAGAGGTAAACATTCAAAGAGCCAAAATCGATCTCAGTCATAGTGCCAGATACAAGGAAACATCTGCAAACCGAAACTGGCTGGGACTGCAACTCGCTGTCACCAAGCTGGTCTTCCTGAGTTCAGCACCACAGGTGGTGTTACATGGCTGACTGTTAACATTTCCAATTGCCTGTAAGAAATCTGCTTTATAAAGGTTTTCTATCCACTGGTAATATTATATAGAATTGCTCTGCTGACTTAGGTTTCTCTATGACAATGTTTTTGTCATTGAAGATATCATATCCACTTCTTTTCTCCTGAGGAATTTCTTCACAGGCTTTTCACTCTCTTTTTAAGCTATCTTGTTTGTACAATCAACATGTTGCATCTAGTTTTCTTGTGACAGTCAGAATGAAATTCATACCAGTACCTTCTGCAGAGCTAAGAAAGTCTCTTCCCAGTGATTCTAGTTTTATTACCTGTATATTCTCTATGTGATACAGACAAAACATAGAGATGGATGAATGGAAGGAGAAAATTAAATCCCATGAAATCAAGGAGCCCAGATCTAGTGGTCCTTGTAGTTTAGGGGCAGTTTAAGAGTGATGTAATTATCACTGGAAAAGAACTGTAAGTCCTAAAGACAATATAATACCAGTATGATGTGCTAACAGCTACAATTTAGTTTAGAGATTTCCTGGTTTGTGAATTGGTCCCCAAATAGAAGAAAGGTAAGGTATCATACCATCTTCCTGTGAATTCAATACCAGGTGAATGTATCAATGAATTTAATGGAGCAAAACAATTTCCACACTGCAAGAGGAAAGTGAATTTAAGTCAGGAATTAATTTGGCTGTGATTAGTTGAGAATAAGTGTATGGAGAATTCAGCACTAGTGACAAAGGACCAAAAGTCTGTCACCTGGGTATCAGGTGTGAAGTCAAATAACTTGGGAATAATAAGGCAAAAAAAAAAAAATGGAATGTCTTTTAAGTGTGGTTTAAACTAAGCTTGGCTCAATTTTATTCCTAGTAGAAAAATATTTGTTTAAAAATGCTGCCGTGATACTGGTCTATATGAAACCATAAAGTCACTTTGTAGCTTTACCATCACTTCTGCAATGACATTAAATGAGCATTCCCATGTTTTCTGTAGCTTTACTGGACAAGGGGGATGGAATGCATTAGTCTCAGTGGTGAATTTCCAGTCCTGCTATTGCATGGGCTTTTGTATAACTACCCATTTTTTCAGTACTTAGAATCAAACTCCAAAAGGTTTTGCTTGGGTATTATTTGTTTGAAGAAGAAAAAAAAAAAACAAAAAAAAACCCAAAACCTATAAAAACCACTCCTCAATGTCAAGAGCTCCATTTCAAACTCTACAGAATCTGGCTGAAAACAGTCTTTTTTAAAGGTGAATGTTGCTGGTCTCCAGATTTTTTTTTTCTGTGAGTGCCTTCCAACATGTTTGTTCTCCCACCTTTGTTTCCTTCAAATTGTCACTCTTTCCAGTTCTTTTCAAGCAATCCTCTCACATAGCATTTGAAAACCTGTGTCTTTTTCCTTTCATACTATATTTTTGTCTTGTAGACTGAACCCTTCCATCCCAGTATTCCTACAATTGTAATCCTCATAGAAATGCATATTATAAATGGTACACAGAAATTACAAAAATTACAAAAACCCTATCATGTGTGGGTGGTAGTGCTCTTAGCAGACAGATAATTTTGTATCTTGATTTCTGATCAAACCTAGAACTGACTAATGGAAGCAGTTTATTCCTCATGGTTGTAATACCATTTACAAACAGTACTCTTTAAAATGTTAATTGCTGGTTAAGGAAAGGTGTTTGCTTCGGATTTTTTTTTTTTTTTTTTTTGTGTAGTTTGTCCCCTGTAAACTTCCTCTATTTTTTTTTTTCTTTTAGGTTTTACACCTCCTGGGATGGATAGGTCATCTCCAGACAATAGTCCAGTCCATGGCCTTTTACGTCAACCCTCCATTACAACAGGAGCCAACATCCCTATTATAACAGAGCTAGGTAAGAAAAGCTAAAATTTGTCCTTCCATATACATTCCCATGTCTTTTTCTCACTTTCCTTGTTATGCAGATACAGAAAAATTACCCATACTGGATCTTACACTGTTACATTTTCTCTTTTGATAACTGTTTTAAATTACTCTCTCTAAAGGAAGTTTAGTAACAGTTGGTTCACTTTATTTGAATAACTAAAATATATTTCCCTCCTTTGGGTTTTCTCCATTTTCTTAAATAAATATCCTATCAGACAAGATGCTTTTTGCATAGTGTAACAAACAAGCTGGGGTCTTTGGGCTAAGGTTAGAAAAGGAAAAAGGCCAAAGTATAAGCAGATATTTCCTGTGCATTTAATCAATTGTAAGAGGCCATTTGTTTATTTCTTCATGGTCCAAAACTGTTTAATCATGTGTAACCAAACTCTGTATAATAGTATGAGATATTTCACTCCTGAGAATATGATGATGGTAGGTAACTAGACTCTGATTTCCACTCTAGCTGTGGGTATTTATGTTGTCAAGCGGTGTGATGTGAAGTGCAGAAGCTGTTCTGTTTTTTTCATGGCAAATACAAACTTGATTTGTGGTCCTTTGTCCTTCTGTTTTCTTTTTCAGTTTTATTTTTTAGAGCCTTACCTGTCTTTTTCCCTTACTTTATTCTCTTTCTGTACTTTCTTTTCCCCCTAAATACTTTACTTACTAGCTAAGCCTGGCAAACTTCTGCCTTTGGTTTCAATCAGTCAGGAAAAAAACAGTGGAACCCACATTCTAATGATAACTGAACTGGGTAAGAAGTGCCTTTTTCCTTCACATCACTGTGTTATTTTCTGTTGTTGTTCTTACTGTCATCAGCTTTTCCTTTATTTATCTGGCTGTATCAGAGGGGCTACCCTCATGGCACTGCTTTGAATGTGTTTTATTTGTGGTTCTGGTTGAAATTTACCGTCTTGTTCTGGTCTTCTTAATGATTTTTTTTTCACGCAGCATCAGTAAACCTTTGATCACACTCGTCTGACCAGCCGGCTGTTTTCATAGCACCTTCTCACCAATTCATTTTTTTTGGCCTAAGTCCCCACCTCCCTGGCCCTCACTCTCCTACACCAATTTTTCTCTCCTTTTCTCTCTTCCTTCTCTTTCTTTTTGTTACTTCAGCCTGTTGTCAGTTTGGTGGACATGCCTTAGCAGCTTTTCACAGGAAGTCCAAGAAGAAGTAAAAGATACCAGAGAAACCCCGAGCATCATACTTTCCCTCAGGCTATTTTTTTTTGTTTATTTTGTAGAGTAAGGCTTTTTCTCAGAAGCTCAGGTTTTGAAGCTGTAGAGGAGCAGCCAAGCTCCTGCATGGTTCCCTCTCAACACAGAGTGCTCTCACCAGCCTTTGGAGCAATGTTTGATGAGCCTTTCCCTATGGCACAGCACCACCTGTTTGCTCCCAGCTCTCCTGGCCCACAAATCCCAGTGGTAACTTGCATCAGGAAGATAAACACACACCTGCAGAATTCATGACAGGTTTTTAGTAGCTCAGGAACTGACCCCACGCTTGGCTAGCACGGTGTCTAACTCAGGTGTTAGTCTGCCAGATGGAAGTGGAAAACGAGTGCTGCTGTCAATAGTGCCTACTCTCAACTAGCAAATCAAACTGAGGTACAAGCTGTTCAAAAAGTACATTTTGATACAGCAGGCTTTCAAATACTGTATTGCTTAAGAATCTGGAGATTAAATTGATAGGTATTGTACTAAAAAAAGAAGTATTATGATCCCGGTGTTTTCTTGGATTAATGTCTTCTGATTCCCAGGGCAGAACATTTCTCTTATTACAATACTAAGGTGTTATGTTTTAACAATTACATCAGGGAGTGCAAGGCAAGAATTCTAAATTCTATCCTCATCTCATTTAGACAGCTATCATGAAGCTTTATCTGCAGTAATTCATGTTTTGTAAGTTAAACATAGCAAGCACAGGAGAATAGAGAGTTTGGAAAATGAGTGGATGTACAAGAAAACTGTATGGGAAGGATTGAAACTGTATGAGAAGGAAGATCAGAATAGCAGGCAGAAAATTTCTGACTTTAGAAGTCCAGAGCTGAAATCTGATCAAGTTAACAGCAGTTCTTATGTTATTTTCAAAGTTTGCTGGGTTGGCTCAGGAGATGTGTTCACATGGGGAATAGGGATATCATCAGCGCGTGCAGTTTCAAATGCTCAAAAAGTTTTTCATTTCCTTTTCTTGCATGGGAACTGAAATTAATTTGTCATTTAGTAAGTTGAAGGGTGTTTCAATGGCATAGCTAAGCAGTCTGTGCTTTCATGCCTGAGGGAGACTAATATGGAAATGAAATATTTCATGAAATATGATCCACTTGATACACTGATCTCAAGGAAACAACTATTTTTAGTTGGAATGAGTTGGAGGCAGAGGGCTTAACTGTGACAATGAAATGCCAGAGAAAGTCAAAATGACAAATACTACTTTATTTGGGCTTTTCTCTAAACCAGCCTGATTTAGATTATTTTTCACTCTGGCTAATGTAGAATTTGTGGCTGGGAAAGTGAAGTTATAGAGACAAATATTTGAACAAAAGGCAGTGCTGCAAGAGAACTGTTCATTCATTCAGATAGATACATGTTAAAGGGACAGTTCATCCTCTTTTGAGCCCTAAGTGCATTAACACCACTCCAGTAAGAATCACAGCAGCACATCTAACAGATGCCTGTGGGCTATATCAGAATTTTATTGACAGCCTCTATTTTACAATGAGGTTCTAACTTTGTATCTTGTGATAGCATTTCACATTAACTGTTCATGCATACAACCTCAGCCACTGTACCCCGCCAATATACCAAGATTGTCTTAATATACAAGTTTATAATATATTTCATTTTGAGCACAGGCAACTGGTGCCACGAAGCTGCTTTACAGGAAAGGGATAGGAACCTGTCAAGAACAAGAGTGTCACCTCTTATGAGCAAGATAACGAGCAACAGAAAATGCACATTTTCACATCCATCTTGATTTCATTTTCAGTGACGTCAAAGACACAAGTCTGTGTTTCCAGACATATGCCGTTTCTTTTTCTTTGGCTGTGTGATGTGTAAGGTCACATGCTGATGACCCAGAAATACCTTTCGATTTTACTCTCAATATTATCATTGTTATTTTCAGTAAATGATTCAAATGTTCAGTTCTTGGACCAAGATGATGATGATGATCCCGACACAGAACTGTATCTCACGCAGCCTTTTGCTTGTGGAACCGCATTTGCTGTCAGCGTGCTGGACTCTCTCATGAGCGCAGTAAGCAAACAAATCCTTTTCATTCCCTTCTACCAGACTTGCTGTGAAAGAGTGTGAAGGTGTAGAATCTTTTCCAAAGGTAGGCAGGAGAAGATGCTTTTTTTTTTTAGGCGTTAAGAGAATCTCAGAACCTAAGCTAGGTTATTTTCTTAGTTGGACACAGAGACTATAATTGAGATATCTAGGACTTCCATGAGTCCACAATTTTATAAGGAAACAGTCTCATGTCAGGTTTTAAGGATCATGCTTTCAAAAAAATATTGTCCCTTCTGCCTAAAATCCAGACTCAAATGCAGTGTGTCAGTCCCTGTGCTCACCATTCTTGTCAGACAACATCAACTGTGTTTTGAGCTTTTAATTTCCTGTAGCTATGAGCTACATACTCTGAGTGCTGGGGGACACTGATAGAACTCCTTGAAAGCCATTGTACACATCTCATTAATTCTATTTGTGTGAAGAGAGGTTATCCTCTTTTTCATATGAATTTTCTTATTAATCAAAACTTCGGTGCATGCCAGAAACTACAGATGGTGGCCTTTGGTTATGTCTACACTGGGGCTTTTGTTTTGCAGCCATAGCACAGTTCTGAAGCAAACCCCTCGGTCATGCTCCTTCTCATCCTCCTCATACTGGCCAAGTTTTCAGACCAGTCTTTCTCTGTGTGAGCTACACTTCGTTCAGAGGGACCTTAAACTGTGCCGATATAGCAAGGACATAGTCTTTTTAAAATCTGAGCATGGGCTTTCTGAGCTCACCATGGGATAAAGTTCCATAGTGCTGGGAAAGGTCTGTTGTGGAACCCAAGTAACACTGTATATGAGCAGATGGGTTTCTCTAAAGGAGCCAAGCCTGACCTTCACCTGAATTCAGAATGAAACTTTTTGCATTTAAGAAGAATTCATAGTGATCTTTAAGATTTATTATTTCATTTGTATTTCATACTTATGTACCTGTATTTTGTAGTTTTCGCTGCTATATTTTCCATATGTTCCATCCACAGATAAATGAGTCTACACAGATAAAATTTTATTCTAATGCCCTAGGAGTTTTCAATAACCTCAGACAATGGTTTTCATGAAAGCTATTTGCAATATTTTGTAGATGTGACAAATTCAGAAAACCTATTCAAGGACTCCTAAACTCTGTACCTCCTCTAATTAAAATCTCTATCTATAAAAGTTTTTGTATATTCACATTATAAATGGGAATAATTTATCATGAAGGTTCCAAATGTTTCTTAGAACTGTTTATCTCTTCCCATTATTATCTAAGTCAATATCTCTGAATGTATTGTTCAGTAGGGAACTTCAGAATGAAGAAAAAGTAAGGTTAATCCTTCTGGTTGCCACAGAAAGAGTGAGATACTGTGGACATCATTGCCTCCTTGTGCAAAAGCGTCTCAAGTAAATAATAGTGATGCAATGAAAAATAGGTACAACATGTCTGTTGAGAAATGTTAATGTTTTTAGTTATTGCTAGCTTTTATTAACTCTTAGTTTTGGACAACATGCCCCTCTGTTTTTGCGGTTCTGTTCTATAAAAGTCCTTTTCCTAAACATTTTGATATCCAAGTGGTCATACTATGTGTCAGGGACAGTGCAGCCTGAAGGCAGAGAAATGTGATAACAAGAGTAGAAAATTCTCTACTTTAAAAAATAGTAATCAAGAAGAAAGGTAAGGATTCAGCCAGTTAGATTTGTTCACTATCCTGCCTTTTCTTTCACCAGTTTTCTGATCAGTGGCAGTGTTATTTTCTCTTTATTCCTCAAAGGCCCAGCAAGGAATTGGAAAAGTACAATTCTTCCTGACCATTCAGAAAGTGTAAAATGTGTGAGATGTTTTCCTTTACTGTCCATATTCTCATGGGGAAGACTTTTACTTCTTCTCCAAGGAAAAGAGTTTTCTCACACAAACTAATCTGTTTTCACTATATTATTTCTTACCTTTATTTTCTTTTTTTCCTAAAGTACACTTGCTTTTAGCAAACAGCTTCTGTTTAATGAGTCTAACTTCATACTTGCCAGCATGGGAAACTGAACCCCAAATCCTAGCTAAATTGTGAGATCTGTAGTCATCCTACAGATTAGTGCTTTAATCCTACTAATTGCACAGGAATTATGTAAGAAGTATATAATGTTCACTCTGCTGTCTTTTGCCAGCTCACTTGGAGACAAGTATATAGTTCTTTATTCTATCTATTTAGTGATTCAGTTGGTTTTACTGCTTATTTTTGATAGAAAAAATCCAATTTATGATCTCTGTTGATATCTCTGCAATGAAAATTCCTTACATAGTGTACAACGCAAGTGTTCATGAACTGTTCCTTTAACAATGAATCTCTTCTCACAGTAGTGGGGTTTTGTAGTAGAGCAGATGCAAGAAAGACTAGAAAGTCCAATGATAGACATGCATATGGTATTATTTCTGACCTGTAGGTCATTTGAAACGTGTATATAGATGTATGTATAGGGAAAAAAGCTACAAAATATATTTAAAATAATTTCCTTAAGTATTCAGTTATTGGACAATAATAATAATAATAATTCTACAGTATTAATCAGTATTTAATTATTATTATTTTACTTTTTAATAGTTTTATAATATTGAAGTAGGGCATTACACCCAACTCACAAATTACAGATTAGAAAATGTGGTAACTTCCTAATTCAAGTCTGAGTGCTGGAGATCTTTACATTCTGCTGGTTTAGCATTATTTCCTGCAAGATGACAGTACTGGACATTTTGAGTTTAAAATTTTCTGTTATTTCCTTATTTCAAAGGTAAAAGGCTTAATGTAGTTTAGTTTTCCAAGTGCCATGTACTGATCATCTGCACCCAGTTTGGCTTTGCAGCAAAGGCAATATTTTCCACAAGCCCAGGATTCAAAGTGCAGTAGCTCAAATACCAATGCTCAGAGGACAATAACAAGCTCAAAACCTATACTATGTTTTTGATGAGTTGGTAGCAGTGATCTCACCAGGTTTGGTTCAAGAGCTTTACTGTGCTCTGTGGGAAGGCTCTGGGCTTGCTTCATGTTTTAACTGTGGCAGTGGCTATTGTTAAAATGCTCCAGCTAACCATTACTATGTCTTTGAAGAGACATCTACTGCCATCAGGTACTTAAATTATATATTAATATTTATTTTGTCATAGCATATGCAAACCCAGGGAAATAATACATGTTGTCTGTCAGTCTCAAGGCAACACCACTTCTGGAAAGCAGAGCATGCCTTCATCGCCAAGTGAAATGTAACTAAAATGTGTGGGATTGGAAGCACCTTTAGATTATGTAACTGGTTTTTAAAAATGTTATCTTCAGCTATGGGAAAGTTATAGCTCATATATATATATATATGTATATATGTATATATATACACACACATATAGCTGCTCAAGTATTTGAGCAGGAGGACTTCTTTTTGGGTCTTGTTGAGGTAGTTCCTGTATGTTCAGGGAACTAGTTTTCAGCACACAGTACCTTCAAAGGTTTGAGCACTTGGCCTGAGAGCCAGAGCTTCCCTGTTCCTCTTTTGGCACTGAAGACACAGGAACTGCATTGGTTCTGGCAGGCTGGTGTCCCTCCCACACCTTCTGCTGCAACAGACCCCAGATGCTGTTGGAGACAAGGATCTCCAGCACCACTTAACATTCACTGCCCTGGAATTCGTTTGCTTGTGCTAGAGCTTCAGGTTTTGGTTTGTTTTCTGTATTACCAAATCCTACTTTTTCTTCATTTAAACAAAAGTACAGAATGGAAGAAAATCATTAAAACAGTTAAAAATTATGTCCCCTACTCGAGAATTCTCCCTAAGGGATCCTCACAGTCTTATTTATACAGAAAAGAAACTGTTCTAATCTTTGATATGAACACAAGACTATTTTCATGCAATTCTGTTCAGAGAATTAGTAAGCAACATCTTGTAACTTAAAGTGTCCCAAACTTCTTTCAAGTTTGGACAAGAGTTTAAGAATTAATAGATTTTCAAATGGTGAAATGCTGTTATTTATTGTCTGCTATTTATTCTGTCTCAAAGACCCTTTTGTTATTGGTATGAATTACGGATGTTAGCTCACTCATTCCTCAGGTTTGGATATATATTATTACTACAACTGAATGAGAAAAGCAACTTAAAATATTTGTTTGAAAGTGAGGTTAAAAACCACAAGTAGTCGAGGAGGAGGAGGAATCTTCTTAAAAGAAATTAATTTAAAAACCCACTAACAAAGACAAAAAAGGCAGATATAACTTGAAAAATGACAATTTTAGTGTAATTATAAATGAGAGGCAAAGTGCTATTAAAGTTAAAACAATATTACTAAAAGATGTGCTAATTTTCAGTTAAATTTTCTGTAGAAGACCAATTAGTTTAAAAGACATGACAGCATTAACTGCAAAACATAAGCACTCTGGTAATTATACTTTAAAAATGATTGAACAAATGGGAAAGCATCCTTGAAACATTTGAAAGAGCTGCACTACAATTCCGAAGCAATGGCTAGGTGGCACTGCTAGCTCAGATATCTGTGTCATTACTTCCTTGCTATTTACCCAGTTTCAGTGTCTATGATGCATTTCTTTTTTCCTGTGTTTAGAATACACCTATTTCATATTCTCATTCCAGATGCTGATTAAAGTGGGATCACACACATGTCTAATGTGGGATTTGGTTAATGACAAGCGCAAACAAGTATTTCTTCAGTTTTGATTTTACACTCAACAAAAGGGATTCTTTTCCATCACTGGAATGTGCCTTGTTACTTTAAGTACAACAGCACCTTTCCAAAGACATTCTGTAGATCAGTTTCTTATAAGTACTGGCATATTCAGGCCATGTACCCTCCCACAGAGCAAGTAGAAGATCACTATCAAATTAATTTCAGTGTATTATTATTCCAAAGGAAATGGATATCAGCTAGTTCAGCTTTTCAGTGTGCCCCTAGTTCCAAACTGGCAAGATGTAATGAGGAGTCTGATTTTTGTGACAATCAAAAGCATGGGCAGACAGATTTTTCTTGAGGAGTGCTAAATTCTTTAGTACAGAAGGAAGCAACCCTGTGTAGCAGAAGGTGAGAAGTTACAGCTTCCTGTTCACCCATCTTTTCTTGCTTATGGTTGGACTTTCTCTGATCAGATGCAATGTTGCAGCAGTTTGTCCTGAAACTTGGAATCTTTTCTCCCAGTGGTTGCAAAAAAAAAAAAAAAAAAAAACCAACAAAAAAACCAAACCAGACAAATCCAAGAAACATCTTTTGGCTGCACTCATCCATCTGATTGAATGGTGCCATGCACATCAGTCATTGTGTGAAACCCAAATTAAGCCATTGTTCCAAAGTAAATGCTGCTTCCTTTGCTAATAAGGGTCTTAGCTTTGCCTTAGAGGTACAGCACAGTGGAGAGAGTTGCCAAAGAGGGCGACTGATTTAATCTCAGGGACATCAAGGAAGAAGTAATTGAAAAATAAACAATCATGCCTGAACGTCTTCTCTCTCTCACAGTGGCAATTCCTATTAAACATCATGTAATCGCTCCAGACTTACATTCCTGCAAGGGGTCACATTGATTTTTCTATAAGTTAAGAGAGGTTTGAGTATTACACTTGAATTGTTACCCAGTGCATCCACATGTGTAAGAGCTGATTTGAGATTAGCTGTTGTTTTAGACTGGCTGAATCTTTGTGAACCTCTGCTCATGTCAGACTACTCCTTACAGTATGCTTTGTGGTTAAAATATGTGGTGCCTTACCCAGGTTAATTTAAATAATTGCAGTTGATGAGATGCAAATATTTGCTTTAGGGCATGTATAACAGTAAGAATATGTTCCTCTCCTTTTAATTTAGTCAACAGGTGAATGGCATATATGCCTATGTAAATAAGCAGAGAAGCTTGAAGTTAGGAAACTTCAATGTAAAGTGAAAAACATTGCTGCGTAGAACTCATTTTCTTCTGTTTTATCTGTCATCTCCAGCAAACAATGAAACTGAAGTTTCATTATACAAAGAAAGAATATCAAAGCAACATGGGTAGGAAGCCAGTTCTGCTTTTTGATCTCAGGATAAAATATTTCAACCTCTACCTCAGTTTACCCATGTATTAAATACAGTTACATTATATGGATAGAGCAATGAATTTCATTGAAAAGTATTATTTTAGAAGTCTTTTGGCAACAAGCACTGTTGGAGAATTCACTATTCATTTTTACTTGGATGGATTACAGACATTTGTTCTAAGTCCTAAATTCAACAAAATCCAGAAATCCAGTAATGTCAATCCTGTGTACTCTACAGTGAGCTCATTTTTTCCTTTTATGTTCCCTGCACTTACAAAGCTTCTGAAAACTCAGGCACTGGTGACATTATAAGTGACAGTCTTTCCTTTTTTTTGTTTAACATTTTTTTTTTGCCCACTACAATACAATGCAGATGTTTAAGTGAGGATGTCTGAACTATACCAGTATACTTTTAAGTGAACTTGAAAGTCATTCATCTGGATTTAAATTAATATTTTAAATACCCATTGTTTGCCTGACAGACCAGCAATGCTACAGATGCTGGCAAAATGTCAGTGTGGAGTAAATCTTCCCTAATAAACCACACTTACCCTATACCCTAGAGTTTTTTAAAAGGACCACCAGGATCCCAAACTCATCATACATTTATCTGGAATGAACTCAAGATGTTTAATTGATACATGCTTATGTCTGAACACTGTCAAGTCTCGTAATAAGATGTTTAGTACAATACATCGGTTAGACTGCTAGAGTCCAGCCACAGTAATAAGTAATGACATTTGCAGCACAAAGGCAGCTCCCCAACGAATTGGTGACAAGAGTAAAAAGGCAATCTAGCCTGTGTAAGCTTTAAATGTGGTCTGAATTTTACAATTACATGTCCTAAAGCCCATTATTAGACATGAGGGCGATGAGAAGGAAAGCAGTCATTGCATCACTACTAACACCAATTATAGGAAACATAAATCATTCAAATTTTTGTACTTTAATAAAAATCAGCCTGAATTGGTGTTTAAAAGGAAGGATATAGTATAGGAGCCTAATGGGATAGAAGAAAATAGAGTAATTGGAGGCTGCTGTCTTTTCACTTTCTATATAAAATTATTTGAAGAGACAGCCAAGAACTTTAAACAGCAGAAACCCAGAAAAGTTGTAATTTGGATGTCTTCAGTTGTGACTTTAATGGTGTTTGCTTAAAGAGCTTTCTTTTATCTCTGCAGACATACTTCAATGACAATATCCTCACACTGATACGGACATTGGTAACAGGAGGAGCCACACCAGAGCTGGAAGCACTGATTGCTGAGGAAAATGCATTGAGAGGAGGTTACAGCACACCCCAGACACTTGCAAACAGGGACAGGTGTCGAGTTGCTCAGTTGGCTTTGTATGATGGGCCATTTGCAGACCTAGGGGTAAGATCATGAGGGAAATGCAGGACCAAGGCTGGTCTGTGCTCTATTAGCTTTCTCTCAGCCTGAGTGAAAAATCTATCTCAATAAGCATATAATTTCTATTATTGAATTTAATAGAGCTTTTGGATTGTTTATAAATTTATAGCACAGAGTGCCAGGTTTGCTCTTTACCTTTTTAAGAAGCTGTATGACTGCTCAGGATTCTTGCCTGCATATTCATACGGAAAACGCTGTGGCTCTTCTTCATTGTCAGCTAAAGAGATGGATGAGCTGATTTGGATGATATAAACATTATTGTAGTAATGAATTCTAATGTATTCAATATGTATAGCTATATATTTTTTGGGTTTTGATAAGTTTATTTAGTGTTTTCACAAAGCTTCTAGTTCTTAAAATCTGCTTATTAGCTTGAAAGCAAAGTTGTAAGATTTGGTTTCTGCTGGTTTTGGATGAACAAAAATTCTTATGAAATCCTAATTTTCTAATAATTTGACTGCACTGTTCTAAGGGTGAAGTCAAAAAACAAGTAAAGGAATTTTAAACACCAAACCAAATAAATAAATGGTCTTTTAAAAATAATGCATTGCATAAAAATAAAATATCTAGAAATGTTTTCTGGACCACATTTTGAAATCTTGAGGTAATCCCAAAGCACCACTCTGCTTTGACAATGATGTAGGATTTGATGTTTCTTAAATTAACCCTGTGTTCACCAGCTCTGTCCCAAAAGAATGGAATTACCTTCTTCACAGAAATGACAGGGAGCCCCAGTTTAAGGATTAGAGCAAGAGTGCACAAACAGAAGCCTACAGCCTTTCAGTTGATGTTGCAGTCTAGCTGTAGCTGAGACTAGAAGCACATCAAAACTCTTTGGCATGCAGCTTAACATTTCCACAAATACAATAAGCAACACCAATCTTTGGAATTGCCAGAGCCTCAACTGCACTACATCTATGAAGGCAGAATGCATCAACTCTCGTGATTACTTAAGAATCACTATTTTGGATGTACAAATGAGCAAATCTAAACTTACTTTTTGCTAATCATACATTTAGTCATTATTTTACAACAGAGTTATTTTATTATCCTTTTGAACCCATAGAACTCTAATTTCTGTTGTGCTCCTCATGATTTTTTTTTTTGTCTGGATGACAGTATGACTGCTGCCAAGAAAGGGTCAAAGATACTAACAATTCTAGTACCACAGTTAATGTAATTTGTAGAATTGCATTGTCTGGTACCAAAATTTAGAATTCCAGCTTAAAGCAAATCACTCAGTCTTTCCAATTTGCCATTATTTTATGGACCAAGGCTCTCCAAAATAACAGTCATCACTTTACATGGTTACTTATTTGAAATAAAACATCTAGATTATTCATTTCCTTGGGTAAAAGGCTCTCATTTGAGACAAACAACAGACTATCTATACACTGTCTTTTTTTTAATAAGTTCATACTGCACGACTTGTTCCCTGACATTGTGTTAACAGAGCAAAGAAAGGAAAAAAATGCGCTGTTCTCTTTTTTTATTTAATCTCCTCTCTTTCCTCTAGGATGGAGGCTGTTATGGAGATCTGTTTTGTAAAGCACTGAAAACATACAATATGCTTTGCTTTGGAATTTATCGATTAAGGGATGCACATCTAAGTACTCCCAGCCAATGCACTAAACGGTGAGTCTGGTCTTTTAGAACATTTCTGCTTCACTGCTCTTCAGTCTTCTCAGCAAGCAAAAGCCCAGGGCCTGTAATAAATATAAAAAAAGACCTTGCTCCATTTTTGCATAACTTCTACAATCCTCTTCGAGGATTTCACCGTGATTCTATCTGACTTTAAATCATAAGCTGGATATCACAGGGTAAGTTGTCAGCTGATTTTATTCAAAAAATTTTAATTAAATGTTCAGAATGTATCTTTAGCTTGTTTGCTCTATGATGATCCACTGTTTGCCTGCAAGGAAAGGACTTCAGTTCCCTTATATCAATCAGCTCTAAGTTGTGGGATAATAATTTAAATTACAGTAGCTAGTCTTTTTTCTGTATGCTCCAGTAATACTCCTGTGGGCTTCCCATCAGTACCATCTGTGTCTAAGCATAATTTCTTCCAGTAAATGGAAGCTCTTCTCTTGGTAGACTACATTTTTACATCAGTAGCACCAAGCCTGACCTTAGTGCTTTAAATAGAGCAGACACATTTCCATCTTTGCAAACTGAAGGCCATTTAGCAGCTTGCTTGAAATGTGTCTTAATTAACTGCTTCCTAGAAATACACACACAGACCCATACCAGAAGTATCACAAATCTACCATCTGTTACTGTTTCGTGCTCTACAGAAAGCATCATTATTGTGCAAACATGGCAATAAACAGCACTGCAGCCCACCAAAGCAGCTTCTTCTGTAAGAACTTGAATAAATTGGGTAGAAAAATTGAGTTGTAGTTCAGATTTGCAGTGTAGTTACTATACTTGGGATTATTTGTTGGCTTAATAAGGGACCTCTGTCCCTGAAGCAGCTAAGCAGATTTCTTATGAGCATTGAATTAATTTGAAACAAAGTCATGAGCTCCATGTTCAATTTTTGCTCATTTGTTGCTTGGACAGAAGATGCCGATTGCCTCACTCAAGTCTGTTTTTCACATGCATGAAAAAATTTAGCAGCTGCTCTATAAGTCCTTCATACCCTGAAAGGTCATTAGGTGAAGTTGGGGATTCTTGAAATTGAGCAAGTTTTTATTTCAGGCCTGGGATTTGTACTAAGCAATGTTGGATTCTTGCATGTTCAGACTTCTCTTTATAAATGCTCTTTGAGGCTATGAATGTACATGTGGAGTGAATGAACAAAATAAACCTTGCTATAAAGTTATTGATGTATTTTCCTTAACTTGTTTTAACTACAGTCACAATCCAAACCAATAATTGTATCCCTTGTTCTACTGACTGTATTTAAATATTTAATAACTATGTAAATATGTATTTAAATGTGATATGTATTTAAATATATATTTAAATAAGCTGCATGTGAAATCCTCCTCTGTCTGCGTTTCAGCCATTCTTTTAAATACTGTTTGTGGTGAGTGTGTTACTGTGTTTTGTCAATATACATTTGCTAGGGTCATTGCATTGTGGTGCAGCCAGAGAAAGAAGCATGGTTTGTTTGGTGGTTTCTCTGAAAAATCATTACGTGATTCACTTGAAGAACATCATTCTCAGGCATTATGTCTGTCTGACAGAAAACAAAAAATAAAGTGACAGCTGGCTTAAAAAGGTCCTAAACCATAGTGGGAATTATGTGAGCTAATATCAGGTACAAACAGAAATGCAAAAATTGGGCTAAGTGTTCCTGAGCTAACAACTGTAGGAGAAATTTTTAGTATAAACCTAAACCTGTTTTCTTTTTCTTTCTTTTTCTTCTGTCTTCCTTTCCAGTTACGTTATCACAAACCCACCATATGAATTTGAGCTTGTGCCGACGGACTTGATCTTCTGTTTGATGCAATTTGACCACAACGCTGGCCAGTCCCGAGCCAGCCTTTCTCATTCCTCCCATTCCTCCTACTCTTCCAGCAAGAAGAGCTCATCAGTTCACTCTATCCCATCAACAGCCAACCGACCGAACCGCACCAAGAGCAGAGATTCCCGGGACAAACAGAAGTATGTGCAGGAAGATAGACTTTGATATGTGTATCTACTCCCACTGTGTGTGAAACTTGCATTCACCACCCATTCTCCCCGGTTAATGTTTCCAGCAGTAATGTTCCCTGTTTTCCCATGGAGTTCTCCCTTTTTGTACACATATTTTGCATATGTATGACAGTGTGCATGTGATTGTCATTTTTATTTCACCACCATAAAACCCTTAAGCACAACAGCAACAAAGCAGACGGACCAAAAGTTATTTATGATGCTAGGGGAGAATAAAAAAAGAATTCCAAACCCATAGGCACACTGAAAACATAAATAACTCACTGCAGTTACTCTACATATCTGAAAATGGAGTATATTTAACATGAACACTTGCTCTTGATGTCAGAGTTACACAAAGAAAGTCATTTAGTGCAGAAGTGTTGATGTATGTTGCAGTAGGTTTTTTTTAATACTCATATTTACAGGAGCTCATACATTTATTTGAAGCTTATAAAACTCTCCTATTGAAAAAAAAAAAAACAAAAACAAAAACCATGCAAAAAAAAAAAAATCCCTGCTGATTTTTCACTCTCAAAGCTTATATTATATAGGGCTTACACTCCTTGTATAGATTATTGCTAAACATCTGCTTTATACCAAAGCAATATCAGGGACTTTTGTGCTTGTTTAAGAGCTTTCTCTAAAATGCTAGTCTTTTGGAGATGGTGTATTTTCCCTTTAACACTGAAATTGTCGGGGCATGAAGTTTTACAACTCCAATGGTTTAATTTAAGTTTAGAAAGAGTCTAATTGCATATTAAATTATTATTCTGTCTATTTATATTGCCACATGAATAGCTATATTTTCTTTCACTTTTGACATTTGGGATAAAAAGCCATATGTATCATAAATATTGGACGTAAGTCATTAAAAACTGCCTTCTTGGGACTTTTACATCTTTAAAAGGTGAATTAGTCACCTTATGTACAGAATAAATAATGTTCAGAAAAGAGCAAGCATTTTTCTGAGCTTACATATCAGATCTCAAGAGACTTTGTTCCTTTCCCCAGATGATAGTTTAACTTTTCCAAGTTAGTGTTCATATAAATCTTCCAACAATAGTCCCAATATGTGAAGAACCTCCAGAAATCTTGCTGCATGTTCCACCTGTTTTTTTCAACAGGTACATGCCAGTATGCAGGAATACAGGGAAGACAACTGAGTGCCTTTACGTCTCTCCCATCTGGGGAGAAAAAGTGCTGTGCCCCAGACTGTTAATGAGGAGAACAAGAGGGCTGGGCTGGAAGTATTCACAGTGCTGAGGTGTCGTGTTCCGTGCACTTGCCAGAATTTAGTTCTTGCAAATTGTCACCAATGACACATGTAGCCAAAAAAAGTTGTGGCAGGGAACTAAATATAGTGAAAGGAACCTGCCCTAGACAGCCATAGGAATGATAGTTCAGGCTTGCTTTTACTTTTTTTTTTTTTTCCTTGGTTTAAACTTCAGAAGCCAATGTATATTTTGAAATATACAGCTAGCTCTAGGTTTATGGAGGGTTTCCAAGGGTAGGGAGGACAGAAACACATCCTCTCTTCCCTGGCTATCCAGCAAGAAAGCATGCAGACAGAAAAATATTTAGATTTGGAATGATTAGCATTGTAACTGCCAACCCAATCAAGGTGCTTTTATGGTTAGTTTTGTCTTCTACCTTCCCCTTCCCCAAGCATGACAATTTTGAAGATTTGCTTGCTGTGTGAATTGACAATAAAGCCAAGCACTTTTACTGACAAAACCTGGAGCCATGTAAGTGGGCTACAGAGAATACCACTGTGCAGTGCTAAGCATAATGATTGGAATACAGTCCATACGTGTGAGTGTGCATTCAAACGCAGCTGTAAGTCCAATCAGTGAAATACGTTGCAAATTATGGTTGCTCCCCTACAAATGAGACTATTACAGTTGCTCTTCATCGTAAAGAAAAATTCACATGTTCCTTTTTGCAAAGAAAGTTATCATGTTTTGCCCTCAGAATATTTATTGCTACAAGGATGTGCCAGTTAAAGTGCTCAACCAGAAATATGACAGTTTAAAAGCATTGTAAAACTTACATAGCTTACTTCTTTTTCTAAAGTGCAACAAGGATGAATAGAATGGGCCAAGGTATGAAAATTAATGGTTCTGCATGACCTAGCAACTGCTGTGGGTTTCCCTCTATAACTTTGTCCTTGTGAAAACTTGTGAAATTAAAAAAAAATAGTTACAAACTTTATTCAGTTATTGGTTTGTTTGTTTGGTTGATTGTTTTGTTGGTTTTCTTTTGCCTTTTTTTTCCCACCAAACCAGAAGTAAAACTGGCTGCTGCTGCTGCTGCTGCTGTTTCTCAACCCTGTTTTGTTTTTTATCCTCTCATCTGCTTGCCTTTCTAATTGCACGTGTCCTTTTGTAAATATCCAGGTTCCTGCTCAATGAAGAGGCCTATCGTGGTGCAGACATTACTTTAATTTCCCATTCCTCATTCCAATTTCTTTCCAACCTCCCCTCCCTACTTTCTTATTCCCCATGTATGTACATGAGCATCTTTTTATGTTGGCAGAATTGATTGAAGATAGTTGAGAGCAGTTACACATTTTGGAAGAATGTTAATGGCTTTGACACCAAAATGCTTTTCCATTAATGTTTTATCTGTTTTCCATTTAGCAGAGAAAGGGAGGGTGTTAATATGAAGCCACTTGTCGCATGCTACATAATGATTTTTATCCAAAAAAAATAGTATTTGTATAACAGAGCAGCTCAAATAGAAAAAATATAAACAGCGTACATTAGAGAAGTAACTTGCCTACTTTGTGAATAGCAGAAGAGCAATATCTATCTAATATGGGGGCAAATCTGAATGCTTCAAATTACATTGAAGTCTACTTCACCTCTGTCCTCTATCCTGAAGTTAGAATTCTAAAACTTTTGACTTTTAGTAGTATTGTGTACAGTTTCACCTGCTGACTATGGTCAGATTGATCAAATACTTTATTATAGTGATTAAGGTTTTCTGATATGGATGTACTAATGGAGGTTGGTTGTTATAAGTGAAGAAATACTTTATGTTGGTGTTTATATTGAAAATAAGAGGAAATCTCCTGTACTATCTCAAGTCAGACAACCACAGTAGAAAGGTAGAATAGTTTTTGAAAGTGGGGAAGTATCACCAATGTCAGGAAGTGGCATTTTTGGTTTTTAAATGAAGGTCCTGTCATTTATATCAGTCCCAGCATGGTTTCAGCACTGGAAACCAAGTCCATAGTGAGCTTAAGTGTTGACACAAAACCATGTCTAGCAAACCTGCAGGTTTTTGGCATGGGTTCCTATTGACCTAAACAGAGTCAGGCATTTTCCAGTGAAATTACCATTGTCAAAACTAAGAATTTTGGTAGTTAAAAAAAATAAAAAAAAATCAAGAACAAGTCCAGAACATTATCTTTGTCACAAAATTTTAGTTGCCCTGGAGGAACGTAAAGTTCTTCATAGAAAAAATAGTTTATTCTCTCTTTCCCTGCAAATTTCCTACTGCCTGCTACATGTAAAGTATTCGTTTGCCAAACACAGAAGTGCTGAGCTAGGTGGGTGGAGAAAATTCCAATACTTTTCTTTCTCATACAGGGACAAATTACATGGAAGAATTTTCAGCTTAGTTATAAACAAGATGGTTACATGCAGGGAGGAGACACACAAACACATACATGCAAACTGATTTGAAACTGCAAGTGTTGCAGAAGACAAAAAATGCATGTTTTAAACAGTTGAAAGGTAACCTGGGACTGTGGTGAGAATACAAATATAACAAAGCCTTGGTGTTAAGTTTGGGTAGTATTTTCTTTGCCCTGCTTAGAAGAGAGGGTGTTTCACAGTGACATTTGCTCTAAGTTGCTACTCAGTCCAAAATTAATGATAGAAATTTTAAAGTACTAGTATAATAAATCTCTTGGAGAGAATTGCTGCAGTCTTATATAAGTTGAAGAAAACTGTATTTTGGTATTGTTACTTTCATTATTGGTATCCTTTTTTTTATGCTGCAGGGAAGATTGTTTCACAAAACCATTAATTTTTATTTATTTGTAATATGAGCATTAAGCCTTTTGAACCCTCATGGATGCACTGATGCTGATAGGCCGTTACAAACATCGATGTTTGAGAGGAAAGTGTTTTCTGCTATCTGATACATTCAGTTACTAAGCTGTTCCAACATCTCTCAGGTGATGCTGTCAAAAAGAAGCCTGTCAAATAGCATAGGAAGATCAGGGACCTTTTTAGCAGCTCCTAAAAAAATAGGGTAAAAAACTATGCATGTTGTCACTATAATGTAGAAACATTTCTGGTAAGGATCAATATGCATATTCCAAAAGGGAGAGAAACAGACGCAATGTGACAGAGAACTTAGAAGTGCTTGGTGAATATAGCAATATATAAAGACTTTAAAAAGGGGGTTTCTGAACTGATGTAAAGGAAAAAGTAAATATTAAAGATAAAAATCTGTGCTAAGACTCTGGAAGACATACCAAAATCAGGCTGTAAACATAGCATAAAATACTGAAAAGTGTGTAGGGGCTTCAAGAAGAACATTTAGTGACTGGGAGCAGAGTATCATAGTGTCCAAGAGTAAAGATCAGGAGTGTTAAGCTCACATTTCAAAGGTGAGTAGAGAGGTCAATGAATTTGCACAGGAGATCCATCGTTATGTGGTCAATGATAATTTTTGCAGCAGAGAGAAACAGGAAAGGTATAAAGCTGGATCTAAGCATTGCATGCTGGAGAATGATAATGCTTGGGTCAAGGTTTCAGCAGTGGCAAAAAGAAATCTAAACATTAGAATCTACCAGCTTCTGCATTTATTATTAATGTTCTGTATGTATTACTTGCCAGGTAAAGGCAAAAAGAGACTGGGGGGTGTCTTTTTAAAGAACAGCGTGCTATACAGGAGTTCTGTTGTACATTTAACACATAAATAAATTGCTTATTTGGAAAATTTTAGGGAAAGCAGGGTATTCTGAAGAGCTTTACACTGGCTACTGAGAAACACAACACAGTTCTGATCCTTAGCACTCACACAAGCCTCCCCTTACTTGCTACAACATTGAATTAACTTGCACCAAGTTCTGTTTGTAAGGAAAGTTTTTGCACCATGTGTTAAAAAAACAAGGTAGCACTGAAAGTTCACAGTGCTTAACTTGCCTCAAAATCATTTTAAACACAAACCATTAGAAAACTGTTAGTTTGAAATTGTTTATGTGATCTCACAAGGCTTTTAAAACATGATAACCATCACACTTTACACCTCTCTGAAAGGTTAGTTTAATCGTAGATCACATAAAATTGGTTTCCACAAATGCATAATGGTTCATGTGTCACACTTGAACTAAATGGTTTTTTAAATGGAGCTGAAATTATTTTGATGTGTACACATTCCCAGACTTCTTTTTCGTACAACCTTTTTTAAACCGGCCCCCATCAGGAATCATTCCCTTAAAGTCTCATTAATAATTCAGATGTTCTGATTACTTTAAAAGATCTATGGAATTGAGGCTTTTTTTTTTTTTTAACTGCTTGACAAAAAGATAAATGAATGTAGAAAGAAACGGTAGGAGTCTGGCAAGCTGTAGATCATCTCTGAACAGATTGTAACTTTATCATTCTGTCAGGAAGAATAATTTAAAGCACTTAATCAGTTAGCTTCAGTGTGCAGGATGTAACATTATGAATTCCTATCGTCCAATCTGTTCAAATCAAAGGGAACTTAATTATAATAGGTGAGAGAGAGGGAGATGGGAGACTGAGCATCGTTCAGACTCAGGCACCTTTAAGGGGGCAAGGAATTATTTAGTCTGGTCACAAATGAGTAGGATATTTTTAAACACAAGTGAAAAGCATTTTAGAAAATTACAAGAAAAACAATACAGTAGTTCCGTTTCCCTTCAGTAATAAGCCATTAAAAAGTAACATAATTCCTGGATTTGATTTAGTTTTTTAAAAATGTGTAACAATGGGTAGCAAAGGTTTTAATGGGGAGTGGGGGTTTGGCTTGTAAATTCTAAAAATCCATATAAAGTGGATGTGGCTTAATTTGTTATTCATGAAAGTGACTGAAAAGTCCACCAATTCTGGAGATTAAGCTACTTCTTGAGAGACTCTAACTCCAAAGGTCTTTGTTTATTTTTTGTGCAGTTATGTCCAGGTATTTTTCCTCTATTTTTCTCAGCCTTTCAATTTATTTTCTCTCCTTTACCTCCTGAGCTTTTGTGCTCAATCCTTATGTTTCTAAGGTGAATTTTGCTTTGCTAATTTTAAATATTTATTAAAAATTGAGCATTCTTTCCACTTCTGTGCTGATTCCAGGTATTGCAGCATTTCATTGGTTAGAAAAGTAGCAGTTTATATTACGTGAGGCATTAAAGCTTCAGCAGCATTTTGGATTCCCATTGGAGTGAGAACTAGTGCATACATGTAAGAGTAGCAGCTCTGGTGCGACACACTTTGAACCTTGCATGTAATGGTGAAATGCCCAGAACCATAAGTGTCCACTGCTCTGCCCGCCCACCTCTGGAATCTGGGGAAGGAGGACAAGAATGGGGACAGAACTCTGTTCACAAATGCTGGTCAAGGCACAAGTGCACGTAATGGCCATTAGCCACTCTCTAGATCAGGAGTTCCCAAGTCCTGGAATAAAGTTATCTTGTAAGCTTGCATACCTGTCACTGAGAAATTACTGCAGAAGTTGCTCTCTAAAGGATTTAAGATTTTTTTTTCTTTTGTGAATTTTATGCAGCTTTTGTCCATGGCTGCAATGGAACAGTGCAACATAGTGGTTACAGTGCTGAACAGCTGGGAAGGGGCTGCAGCCTCTCAGCATCCTCCCACGTTGCTCCCAGCCCACCTTAAAGCCACACCATAAAAATTCCTCCTGTGTTCATGGAAACAGGCATTCCTCAAGGGTAGAAAAGAAAGAGCTTCCTCTCTAATTTTTCTTTACGTCCTTACTTCCTTTGCCTTGCTGTCACTTACCATGACTGATCCATTCAGGATTAGCTGGAGCCCCTACCACAGTTGTCTGCAGTGTTCCCCACCCCATTTAAACCCTGGCAGCAGGAATACAAGTCCTGTTTATTGTAACACCAACTGCAGAAAGTGCTTTATGTTCTCCTGCATGATTTTCTGGGCCACCACCCCAAGGCTGAAATGGTTTGGAGAAGTCTGTGACTCTTTAGGTGCCCCTGTGTATAGCCTCACATGCTCTTTTCTGTATTACCCTTATCCCAGCTGCTCTCCTTGGCTTCTTAATTTAGACTTTGATTTGTATCATTTTCTTTTTTCAATAAATGAATCACCTGAGCATGGGCACAAGAAAAGAGCACTCTTACAGCCAACAAGCAAACTAGCATATTGGCAGTTTTCTTTAGCTTCTATTCTCAAATCTGCAAGCGTCATCCTCCTTTCATAACAGCATTTTCAGAGGTATTAATCTAATGCACTGTACTGCTAGTAATTGGTCAAAGTCACCTTCTATTGATCTCTGTTTTCTATAAACTTTACTGACTGCTCCCATTTTCTTTTTTTTTTAATGTTTCTGTGTATGTATGCTTCACTAATTAACACTTTCATTTTTCCCTCCTTATTCTGTCTCTACCTGTTTTGCTCCTTAGCAGAAAAGAAATGGTTTACAGATGAGCCGGATAATGCCTATCCCAGAAACATTCAAATCAAGCCCATGAGCACTCACATGGCCAATCAGATCAATCAATATAAATCGACAAGCAGCTTGATACCACCAATACGAGAAGTTGAAGATGAATGTTGACTCCTTCGAAGCCAGAACTATTTTTATAAAGCCTGACAAACTTCATGAATGGTGATGTGACATTTATTCCTCTTACTTGCTGAACCACTGATGGAGAAGTTAAGAAGGGCACGCTTAATGGGAAAATAAAGTAGACAGATCTTTGTTTGTCTGCCTTTGATATTGCTTCCACGTATTTTGGAAACTATTTCATTTATAAATGAACATAATCAAGACTAGTCATGTATAGCCTCTAGCATTTTAAATTATTTTTATTTATTAGAAAAAATATATTTTTCTTTTTTTTTTTTCATTGTTAAGTATTTTCTCTTAAAAAAATGGCATATGTGGCCAGACTCCTAAGAATTAAAAAAAATACAACAAACCCTCAGTCTTTGGCTTAAAGGAGAATGATGGTCACAGTTATAAGGATATGTAATTAAGGGAGACAAATGATATATTTACAGAAAGGAAAAAAAAGGTCCAACTTGTATTTTAGTAAATCAAAAAAAAAAAAAAAGAAGAAAAAAAACCTACACTTCACCAAAATATTTCCTTACCGGAAGATGTGTATTTTGTTCAGCATTGACACCAGCTCTTAATAAATTGAACTTATTTATTTTCAGAGTTGAAAGTCATATTTTTGTACATGTAACATTCTTCAGAAATATTCTTTGTTTTATTAACATAAATAGATCATCTTGACTGCCAGTTGTGTGAAGAGCCCCCCAGGCTGTGCCCTGCCCCTTCTCTCGGTGGCACCCACAGACCCCCGTGCCCCCGGGAGCACGCTGTGACAGGCACAGGGAATGTCACACCCCAGCAAGGGCCATGGGCTTACGGGGCACTTGCTAGAAATGCAAATTTGGCAATTGCACTTCACTTCCCATTAGCCATCAGCAGTTGCTAATTTCAGGAAGGCAAGCTTGGCAATTCTTTTGCCATTATTACAGTGATTTAATCCAGAGTACATAACATAGTGCATGGAAGCATCAGTTATAAACCATCTCATCTACCATATTTTATTAGTTCCTAACTTCAGAAGTGCGATGGCCTTTCATTGGTCTGAGATGGTACAAATTCTTCTACATATGTATAGAGATTTAGCTCCAGATCCTTGCACTTTGGTAAAAGCTCATACCCTGGTAAAGGGCACACTGAATCTCCTTTTGGTTAATTCAGATCAGGATAAAAACTGGTTTAGCTTCAGCTCTACAATCTCATAATGCGCTGTCCTCAGTTAATACCTACAATAAGCAACTTCTTATTTTTGCAGTTGTTTTTCTTGTTGGGTTTTTTTTTTTTTCCTTTTATTTATTTTTACTTTGCTGGGACACCACACACAAAAGTACAGTAATAACCAAATGAAGATAATAAAAGTGATGAATGTATTTATTATGATAACATGCAAAAGGCCTTTGATGGGTGCCTTTTGTGTCAGCAGTGTCACAAAGTTGCCAACAAGCTTTATAGCCATCAGACAAAAATGTGATGTTTCATATCTGTGCTGCAGTATCCACCCACCCAAGCATTTATGTTCTGAATGATTTAGTTACTCTCTCTATCTCAAATAAGCAGCATCTGACACAATTGTGTGGAAACAAAAAAAAATAAAAAGGAAAGGCTGTGATAGTAGGGAAACAAAAACCAAAACCACAAAACCAGAGTCATCAGGAAAAGCAGATTTTCATTGTGCAAGTTAACTTTAGGCTTTGTAATTTTGCAGAATTGTTAAACACCACAATTAAACATACAGTGGTATTTTTATCATTAGAAAAATATCAGTGAATCAAACAAATACAAAGCAGATGATGAATTTATTGTGAAAACAATGATGTCCACTATGTAATCCAACATTTAAGCCAAACTATCTCAGCTTTAATGTTTGTCCACTGGCTGCAGTACAAGTATAACCATACTAACACCTAATAGGCTTTATTCTGGAGTGACTTCTTGGACTGTGACTATTTTGTTGTTACATTTTGTAGAATAGCTATTTAAAGACAATAATGAGAATTGTTGATACAGTATCTGTAAAATTGGATTGTTTAAAATATTTCACTCTCCTACAGAGTAACAAAACAATACAAGCAGTTTTTCATTATGTTTAATGCATTTCACAGTCCCCAAAAGAGAAGATAATTCCAGTGAGTTCTTCCAACATATGCTGCTTCAGCTAGTGACACACTATAATTTACATCCCGTCTCTGCAATGGGTCATGTTAAGCCTTTTCTTTGAAGTCGGTGCTCCTTTTTCCTTTATGAACTGCATTCATATTACAACCAGAGTGGAAAAAGCTGGTCCTGAGTACAGGAGAATTGTAGAAATTTGTGTTCAACCTCACCAAATACATATGAATTTTAATTTATTTTTCCTGAGCAGGCTGGTGTTTACTATAGGGGCACAGAACATTATATCGTATACCTTATCATGTACAGTGCCACTTCTGAGTGTCCTTCCATCAGAAGTGAACATTCACTGGGTAAAACACACTAATGAATCAAATACAGCACCCCTACATGGCTAAGGTTTGTGTGTGTCTCTGTCTAGTTTAAGTCACAGCCCAAAATCCCATGCTACTGTTTATAAATAAAGGACAAGACCTGAACACACTCAGGAGCTCTTCTGGCACATGCAGTGGCTGACAGGGCAACACCCATGGAGAGCAAACGAGACAAACAGGTGGAGGTATGGGTCTACATTTCCCATTTACAGAAAAGCTAAAATCAGTGATAGTTTCTTACTCCTATTTTTGATAATCAGAGATGCAAGACTGATGTCTGGAAGTTAGATGGAGGAACAGACAGAAAACCAGTTGGGATCTTCGATATTCAGCCATTACAAATTACAATAAGGCCAGCAACAATAAATGGGTATATGAAGTTACATCAAAGCAGGGAAAAGGCTGGAAAAGGGACCTAAGTGACAGCTGACAGACCACATGATGACTGATACAGAAATAAGCTCTTGGTCTTTACCAATAACTTTTACCCCTGTCTCAGAAGGCAAAGATAAAAAAAATGTGGGGTGGGGAAGAATTCCAGGGGTGGTTTTTTTTTTTTTTTTTTGGGGGGGGGGGGTTTATTTGTTTTTTTGTTTTGTTTTTTGTGGGGTTTTTTGGGGGAGGGAGTTGTTTGTTTTTGGTTTATTTGTTTGTTTGGGTTTTTTTCATTAATTGCATGCACTACTGATACAGGCTATAGAATGTTTTTTGGTAACTCATGTGTTGGATAAATAGTATGCCTATATGTGTGTGTTTGCACATATTCATATCTACACATGCACACACACATATATATGTGGCTACAGACACACACATGTGTACACATCACTTATGTGCATGTGATAGAGTCATCACAAGAAGGTGTCATCATTTTTATTTTCCATGAGCTGGGGTGAAGAAAGGCACAAAAAAGAAGAAAATATGACTTGCAGGGTAGCAAATGGAGGAATTTTTTCTGCTATTTCCACCTGGTTTGACCAAAACCCAGCCATCCTGGTTAGTTTTATGAGAGATGCACTGAGATTATGCTGCAGAGCCTTCCCTCACTGCTGCAGCTGGGCTGTGCTCCTGGCCCTCCTCACACCCCTGCACTGGTCTGCTCCCACACTGCCAGAAAATCTGCTGGCTCTATCTGTTTCATGGCTATTGTTTTAATTTGCCCCCTGAAGCCCAGGAGCAGTAAGATGTAAGGATAAAACCGTCCTCTGATAGATTTGGTGGCAAGTGCCAAGCACAGCAAAAGTTAAGTTATAAAGTAAAGAAGATATTCATACTCTAAATGCAAATTTTAACACCTTAATGTGATTGTGTAGTTCCTTCTAAAATAATAAGTGTATGATGTATTTTTCAATAGGGAAAAACAAGACTAAAAACATTTCCTTGTACATTTTAAAAGCATTCTAAAACTGTCCCTGATATTTTAACACCTTGTCTTTCAAATCAGCATCAATGACCCAGCAGTGAGGAATACATGGGGCAGAAAGTACAAACCCCTTGATCTGGGCCAGGCATGGTCAGCTGGATGTGAAAATAACTAAATGGCCTCAGCCAAAGGCAGGAAAAGGCATACATAGTTTACAAGGCAAGGTACAGGAGACACTGCAAAAGCATTTAGCCTTTTATTATACATTGTTGTGTGGTGGTGGATGAGGTTGGCTGTTTTTGGCCTGCAAAGGAATATTTTGCATTTCTTGAACTCTTCATGTAGTAGAAGGAGAAGGAGAAAGTAAAATAGTGTGTTCTTATTCAGGATTTGCTGGGGGCATGTTTGTCTAACACAGCTAACAACTACTGCAATAATTGGTTGCATAAACTGGTGAATAATCATACATGACAAAAAAAAGGCAATAATTTACAAATGGCAAATAATTTGTGTTTTCACTGCTTGGCCACTCACTGGCAATCAAGTAAAATGTTAACAACTGACCTGGACTAGCTGACTCCCATGGGCACAAACGGAAACACAGAGCAGGTGCTTAAATGGTTTTAAGAAGTGGGTTCCTAAGGGCTCCTGGATCCCAATGTATTTGAAATGAACACATATTGAGGTCAGGGTGTGTGTGTGTGTGTGTGTCTTTTGTTTTTACAGCTGTTATCATTGTGAATTTCTTCAGCACCAAAAGAAGTGTGTGTCTCACCTTTCATTTCTACTTTTGAATGTGATTAAACAAAATAACCAAGAGCGTGAAAGGCGATGAACAGGACAAAGTGAAAACACAAATCTGTTCCCAGTGTTACAGTGGATTAGCCTGGGACTAGCTGTCAAAGTCAATGGCAAATGCATAAAAAAATTCAGAGGAAAGGAGGACTCTTTATAAGCCTTCTGGTTTTTTTCCTTTCTGTGCCATCTGAACCACCGAAATCCCCAACATGCAAACAAGCACCTTTTTAATTAATTTTTTTTTTTTTTAAATTCTAAAGGTTCTTGAATAATCACAGGCTTAAGGGAAATAGTTGTTTTTTGGGTTTTTTTAAAGTCATTATATATGCACACCAGGTCTCCTAATATTCCATTTATAGTATTTTCTTGCTGAGCAATAGTAGTGAGTGTGGGTTACAGCCCCATCTGAAATAATGAAAGGAATGTAGTAGATCTTCTGCTGTAGTCACTGTCCAGGATGGTATTTGGGCCTGTAGTATTGACAAGTCTGTGCCAGCATTTATCAGAGCTATATTTCTGTCAGTAATGTATCTACTCTGCACAGGTTCTCTCTGCTCCAGAGCATGCAACCACGCTGAGGCTGTGCAGCCTCTGAGCAGCAGTCTGTATGACCAGGGAAATTCCACTGGAGCCAATAGTGAGGAATGCTGCTCTGGGGTCTCTGCTCTGCACAGTGCTGTGGTACTGGTAACTGCCAAAAGGAGAAGGGGTAGGGAAAATGAAGAAAATATAAAATATAAGGTATTTTTTTATTACTTTGGTTCTATTTTAGAGCAATATCTAACTAACTTAGGAAGCTAAACAGTAATGCTGCATCTAATTAGAACCTTTATGATGTTGAGACAAGGTTTCTTACTGCTTCAGTCAATGCATTTTAGAGGAGATCTCTATAAAGTAAAAAAAGCAAATAACCCAGAACACAGCATATAGGCAGTTGAATAAATGTAATAAAACCCATGG